TCATACGATTAGCTCGCTCGGCTAATTTCATACCTTCACAATATTATGTTTCCTTGCTGATGTTTATATGCCTTACATTAAGCCTCGAGTTTGTTAAATATTTGATGGCGTTAATGGGAGTGGAGAACACTTATTATAAAGCTATTAAAGCTACACGTAGGTATGTGAATTGTACTAACATTATCGTCCCAACAGTGAAATTAGGGTGGTAAAATATTAATTGCAGTCGTATGTAAGATGGCAGGGTGCCAGTCGCCATCGTCGGTTTTCCAACACATAACATAGCTCAATTTCATATGAGCCATTTTGCACATTATTTCACTATTTTATAAAGGTGATAGTTGTATACTTATGAACAGTGTTGGCAGGTGGGTCTAACAAGCATTGGCAAGTGCGTGAATCGTGCGTGGAACGCAACACGCTCTGTATTGAACTCCGGGACTTATGTCACTGCCGCCAAGCTGTCTGAAGGTAAACCTTGTGCGTGGTACATCAATTGATTTTAATAAAGTATTTCCTTTGGTAAGAGTCGTCGATCCGAAAAAACCTGTCACACGTACGTGCCTTTATTTAATACTTTACCTAAAATATAGTTACCTAAAATAAAGTTCCAACAATTGTTATTAGAAGTAAGCAACAATAAAACCAGACTTCGGCGTAGGTGGAATATATTTACTTGAACCTCAAGCAATATCTCAAATAGAGTGGATACTACCTTCTTCTGAAATCTCGGAATGATGAAAAGTAAAAGGCAAAAAATTAGAAGAAAATAGTTATGTAATAGTAAAAAAGTAATAGTTATACGCGATTTGAATCCGGAAAAATAGTTTCATTTCCTATGAAAATAGTTAAGTTTTTACTTAGGTACAAGTACAAAACTTTTCTTCTAAATACACAACCATAGTAAGGTTATTGCTAGTTAGAAACAATAATAATAAACCTAAAAAATAAACAACCTTTTTTATTTTTTCTTTTGTTTGAGCGGGTCTTCATCAATACGTACGTATATACATACGTACGTAAGTACTTTGTCACCGACGACCTTTAAAGACCTCATAGACATTGAGAGGGACGCAGGGCGCTGGCGGTCAGGTATAATTTGGTGGAAAGTAAAGAATAAGTAAAAATCTTGCCATTTATCATGCTGTATAGATTTTAAGACTTTCGTGGTTATTGCTTTTTATTTTAGTAGCAGTAGGGTTCCTTGTGGAAGAGTTCGTCCAGGGCAGTACTGCCACCTTACCTATTTTTGACGCCAAGCAGTAATGAGCATTACTGCGTTCCGGTTTGGAAGGATGTGGGGTGCTGGTGAAATTACACTCACATAGGACTTGTCAACTTATGTCTCAGGGTGACAGGCGCAGTGGCAGTGCTCCTAAGATCTTTGCGATTAAAAGCTCTAAGTGGCAGTGCAACTGTTATTCTAGGCGTGTCACTTGGTACTATAAAAAAAATACTGCCAAGTTTTCTGTACGTGCAATCTTTGCACCGACATACGCATAAGACTATCAGTGCTCTGCGAGTACAAATAACAATAGTTTTCGGATGTTGTTGGAGCTGCCGCGATTTTGCAGTACGTTAGGCAGTGCAGTGCAGTGCAAATTTAACTTTACAAGCCTGTGCAAATGCAAAGGCTTGTACAGTTGAATTTTATGACATTATTATAGTGAGCTTCACTGCTCTGCAGACTGTGTGTCAACTTCAATCAGCCAGGAGGATTCCCTCTCCTTTTAAGCGGCAACATTTTTGGCCTCGCGTTTGACGCAAGGCCCATAAGCGAATTATTACTTTCAATTTTAAATTTAGTACCTAGTACCAAAATTTTAAGAACAATATTGTTACTTACAAATGTGGACTTCTGTGTTGTCTGTAACTAAATTATTATTATTGTAATTCCATGATTTCAGAGGGAGGTAGGTTTTATCCACTGTGTGTGTATTACTCGGAGTTTAGGCAAATACGGGCGTAGCATTCCGACATCTGGTAGTAACTTAATACAAACATTAAAAACGGGGTCAGTTTTGCTGTTCTTTTCGTGCCACACTTGTTCGCAAAAAACCATGGCGTATATACAATTTCATAATATTATTTTGTGTACCAAAATAATTCTACCTAGTTATTACGTTTAATAATATAATAATTTTATTTATAAGATTAAGCCAATTTCATTTGATTGTGACCGATTGCAAATGCTACGAGAGCTATTCAGTTAAACAGTACGTTTCTACCAAAGCAAAGTAATTTTGGACATTGCTTTTGATCCTGGGTATCGCCAGGAGGGCCACGACATTGGCAGAGAACATACATAAAAATTTGATTTTAAATATCATTTATTGACGCTCATTTTATATATCACGACATTTCGCTCATTTGCAATCATACTTCTTGTAACTGTTACAGGAGACGGACGTGAATTGATTTTTAAATTTTATTCAAACATTATGACGTGTTAATAAGACTTTGTGTATTTTGACAATAAATATAAATTTAAAATTTTTTTGCCGATTTTTCTCCAAACGTGAATAAACAGTTCTTGGATGTTTCAAATTTTTCCAAAATGTACAATTAGGTACGTCAAGTTTCATTCAATAAGTCAAGAGTTGACCCCGAAAATGTGTCTCTCTAATCTTACCACGGTTTTACCTGGTTTTTGTAAAATTATCTTGGGATATCTTGAAATACGGGTCATTCTCATTTCGTATTCGATTCCGAAAACCGCTGTCTCACGGCCATAGATCTTACATTATGAAAGCTATTGATGATTATTAATAATTGATCCAGGCAGATATTAAGGATAGGCGTCATTATTGGGCACCATTGGTAATGGCGATTTCATCTTGAAATCCGTAGGGGCATGAAGCGGGTATGATTAATGAGTCAGTAGACTAGAATAAGGGCCGTCACTTCTTTGCATCCTACCTCTTGACGGCAATACTCCTAATGCTCAATGTAACTTGTGATGTTCATTCCACGCAACAGCTTTAAGTCATCTTCAGAGTGCCTTTTCACCTGGTCATTGCAAGGCTATTCAGTACTGAACTGATTCCAGACTCGTCAAAGAATGCAGATTTCGGTTGGGAATTTCTCTATGAAGGCATTTACTGTCTACGGAGCATGGTCCACTTAAAATGCTGTAACGTTTGCTACAAGGCAAGCTGATATTGTAAATCAGTTTCCATATTCAGGGTACCCTCTAACACATATACTACGATATCTAACTATCCGTGTGAAGCCTGGGCGAATGCTCACATCAGGACACCAGAGACAAATAAAAAACTCGAATAGTCTTGCAACAGGGTAGCACTGGTGTGACGTTGTCAACGTGCAGCTAAGCAGCTCTGGAAACATGAAAAGATCACCCCTAATAACAGTTTAACTGAACTTAACACTTGTACGTCATTCTAACAAAAAAAGTAATCTTATCTAACATCTCATAAAGATTTAGTAGGTAATTATGACTGAAAGATGTACAAAACATGCGTTTACATTAACACGTTTTTGCTCGACGGAAGACGAAATTGGATTAATTTATGTATACAACGATGAAATTTATTTGTCCATCGATAGCAATTTACCAGTTTCCAGAAGGCACAAAAACATACATAAACGAAAAGAATCAAATTGCAGTAAAGTCACGTTCCTTCACTCATGTTCGATCCTACTTGGTATAGAATATGGCAAAACCATGGTTCCAAGTACATTAGGTATTTCATCTGGAGAGACGACTGATAGGTACTATTATTACGATGATAATACGTTACGACTATAAAATTTGAAATCACTAGTTTTTATGGCTCATAAACTAAAAGAATGAATGATATATTAACATAGTCTTCAGAATGCAAAAGCTAAGAACGAAATTTATGAATAATATTTACAGTTCGTGGATTACTTAATGCCACATGCCTGCATGAGCATTGCTTTCCGTAATAATAAACGTGAAATATTGCAGCGGATAGATTGCACGCAAAGTACAAACCTCCATTATCCTTTAATAGCAATTACTAGCGACAACTAAGCCACAGCTCATATCGATTATCCGATATTGTGAAGCGAAACAACGACATAGTCGGCGCGCCGGGACAGCTATATTGAGGCATTAATCAAAGCCATTTATGAGTAGTTACAGGTTAATCCGATTGAATGAAATATGAATAGCAATTTATGCCCCAGCATACCAATGAATGTTCATATATTTAATTATCTCTTCAATTTCTTAATGAAAAAAAAACATCTGAGCTACGAAGGCATCTTTTTAGCAGCAGTCTCACAGTGTATTTACTATAGATGGTATTAAAGAAAATTATACCTGTGTTACAAGACGTAGAACTTGGTTATCTGTTTTCGTACCCTCATTTTTATGATTTTTAAAATCATCCGATATTTGTTTCTGATACTTATTGATGAAAATAAAGAGAAGCTATTGGTTTTTATTTCTAAGAGTATCAGAATCGGAGATATTTCTAAATACTTTCACATTAATTACTACCTAAAATTAAAATAACTGACTACAATTAACAACTAAGTACTTTACTTAAAATTAATTTGCACAATTCCTGTGCTCTCTGATTCACCGGCTCATAGAACTCCTTCAAAGATTAAATAGTGTGGTTATGGAACAAATGTGCGCCGTCGACCGAACGTATCTGTAACTTCACGCTTCGGTTCACGGCTCGATTCTGTCTTCAGCAAACATTGTGTTTTCTACCCTTGCGCCAGATTTACGTGCCACAAATGTGAAATATGTGCCGGTCTTTTTAAACGGTCACTATATTATTACATGAAATATGTTTCTTTACATAGGTGAGGATCACCTATGTAAACAATCGTATTTCATGACACTGACACATGTGATTTCTAAGGTGAAAGTTTCTTTGAAGTTTCGTTATGTAAAATTTGCTGCATCCGCTGTAATTTTCGTACGACATTTTGTAAGGACGAATGAACATTACAAATGGCTACTCGTATTATAATACCAACGTATTTGTGCTTGTTCGCAGATGTGGTCTCCACGCCGACTTCACTGAGCTGACAGCTTGTGTCGGCGGCGAACTGGACCGGCATGAAGGTTCAGCTGTACATCGGCGGTACTTCTATATCACGTTGCTGCGGGAACCTGTCTCGAGGTGAGAATAAAAGAGCAAATGATATAAGGAAAATGCCACCTTAATTTACTTCAGTTCAGCATATAATTTGTTTATAGATAACAAACCCGTTTCCTAGGGGTTAAAGCATGTCACGCTTATAACCTATGTGGTACTGCAGTGTATCACCTACTTACTCTGCAGGAACAATCGTGCAATGTCAACCACAGCAACTCAGGCACTTAGTGCATAATGTTACTTGATGTGAACTTCATAAGTTTCCTTTGTTTCCGCTAAAGTTACTCTAAACTTTGTCGTGGTGTTTACTCAGTAACAAAACAAAAACGGCAACCCTTTGCACGCAATACTTATAAAACTTGCTCCGAAATTTGTTGCTGCGAATCGAAACAGACATTCTTTATTGACGATTATTGCGCATTTCGTTCATTGTCGATAGCGAAGAAATAACAGACGAATTAATTTGCCATTTTTTCTAATATGCAACAAAAAATAGGGTTTTCATTTTTTATTGTCAAAATGCATTATAAATATACCTGAAAAAAAAAAATCGTTTTTACTATACCTAACTGACAAATTTATTTCTGCCTCTGCCTTGTATAGTCCTTGAATCTAACCATTCTACCGCATAGCCAATGGAGTTATCTATGTAAGTTTATTGTGCAATATAATTGACAGTGATATTTGTTCCAGGTACTTGTCGGAGTACCGGCATGTGAAGCGCGGCGCCACGTGGAAAGGCTCGCGGCACTGGTGCCAAGGTCGCACAGCTACAGGTAACTGCTGATAAATAATGTAGTAACGTACATTTTGTGTTCCCTTCCTTGAACACAACCCAACCATCGATTTCCTTAAAGGTATGGGGTAATGTAGCTGTAGAGCTTACATTTTTCTGTTATATAGGAAACGTAATCACAACATGGCCGTATCTATTAAAAAAATACTTTCTAAATATATACATAACAATTGGTTTTAAACAGTTAGATATTAAAAAACTATAAAAAAATAGAAGCTTAGAGAACAAACGCGTTCAAGTAACCTTAACTGTAAGCTCATTAGACCGACAGCGGCAGGAGGCAACGAGCCAGGTCAATAAGATCATGCTGGTGAAAATCCACTTAGTCACTTTGGTAAGTCCGTTTAAATGTAGAATAAGTCGACCAACTTTGCTGATCCACTTAAAGTTAAAGGCAAATACAAAATCTAATAAAGTGACTCCAATAGCTTTAATTACTTTTGTACTTATTTCATTTTCCTAGATCCCCAATATTAAATATCTACCCAAATATTCTTAGTTCAGATAAAACGTACGAAGCTTGTGAGATTTGAGACGAATGAATAAATAAACGCTTGAAAGAATAAATAGTCGATATCTATGCGGCCTCCGAGCCCCTTTGATCCGACGAAGTCCTAGGCTGGAATTTATTACGGATGCTTCCAGTGAACGTTGTTCCACGACATTTGACGCGACGGATAGAAAGCAAAGATGCGTGACTGATCGGCATACCCGCCAGTAATTAAAGCAGTAGCTTTGTTCATTACGTAGAAATGAAGATTTCTTTTCCAAAGTTTTTATAGCTTAATGTTCTGTTTTCGTTTCGCTGTTTAATGTACTAACAATGTTAGGTTAACATTTTGGCAATGCTATTGAATAATGTATTTGTTTAGGTGCGGAGGTGCCGCCGTGTTATACAGGGGAGTCGTGGCGTGGGGTGACTTTGGACGACTTTACGTCATGTCCGTGGAACCTAGCCAACAATCGGCAGACGCGGATGCTAGCAGATCTCGCGCTGGTCGGGTGTTACAATGGAACTCTCCGGCATCGGACTGCTGATACTGACAGGGTGTTACTCGCCTCCGCTAAAAGAAACTTAGCCGCGATGGCGTACTTTGGACTTACAGAATTTCAAAAGGTATCTGATTTTTTAACAATTAAACCTGTTGTTTTCTACGGTAACTACGAATAATAATGCCAGTTTTAAATACATTTGATTAGTGTAGTAATTAATTCGAAGTGGTCCACTGTCTAATAATTGCTATGTTTACACTCGTATTATGTTTCCGTGTTGCAACGCTTGTTCGGGCTCAGCAGCGACACCACGTTAACCACAACGTGATTATCTGTAAAGCCATTATACAGGTACACGAAAAGCAGAATAGATGCAAAGGAAAGGCACCTTCCACAACAAAACTGTTGTGGTAATATTATACATATTCTTTATATATTCTTTATTGCACCAAAAATATATCAGAAAACTTAATTATAGAAAAAGTGAGCAAAGGTGGACTTATCTGTAAAGATAATATAAAAGAGATCTGTTGCAGTCAACCCAGGGCAACACTGTGCAAGTAAAAAGGAAGGAGAAAAATAATAAACTTAGCATGTAAACAGAAAAAAAATAAAAGGTACCACTTACATTTCTTCTTTGAAGAATTTAACAAATACGACTAATTAATATGTATAAGAAAAAAATAACTAAATATTTTACAAAATGATAAATGAAAAATGTATTTCGGTACATTTATTGTAAAATATTTAGTTATTTTTTTCTTATACATATTAATTAGTCGTATTTGTTAAATTTGTAAAGTTGAAACCTCAACTCGTTACACATTTAAGTAGGAACTAGAACAAGAAACAAGATACAGACTAGAAGGATTCTCGGAACATAGATTAAGGATTCATTTCTATTAACGCGTTGCAATCGAATGGGATTTATCGTCCTCCTACGCAAGCCGATGCATTAGATATGCGGGTCCAACGTAACTCATCGGGTAGAATAGACATTAGCAATTCCTATCCCCGTGCAGTGACTCCTGGAGATAGGCACGCCCATTATTTGAGCTTGAATCATTATCTAAATATCGGCACGACCATTTATCCGCCGCCGACTCCACCAGCTCGCCACTCGTAGTCACAACCAACCAAGGTTTTCTTTATGCCCCTATGAATATTCATTGCACAATTCCCATTTCCACATTTGCAGTTCACTTCAACAATGTAAAGAGGTAGATTTGTATGGAAATACTATTGTTCCTCGGGTTCAGTTTACACTCTTATTTCTGCTGGGTCAAGGGAAATTGAAAACCTACCCTCGTCGGTTCCGAAAAAAAAAAGTAAACGAACTGGAGCGTTAACTTTTTGAAAGCTTAGACAAGGGGTTAGTACAGAGGAGTTGGTGAATTCGATCACGCACTATTGACCCAAGATTGAAAAAGTTAGTGAAAGTTTTCGGATTTACTATATGAAAATTTGTGCTGAACGTTGGGTTTTATTTGTGAAATAAAAGTCTACGTAAACCGGGCTTGCCCGTTTCTTTGTATTTAACATCAGATACTCGTAGCTTGAAAGGAAGTTAGGTTTCTGAAACTCGAGCTGAACGATTCTTTTTCTTCGTTTCTTTTTTATTGAGATTGCGTTTGCCCGCAACCTAACCAAAGGGTTAATGATAGGTAAATCTAAACTTGCTTTCATAGCGCAGCAAGTCCAGAAATACTTAAGTGACCTCGGTATTGGTGACTAGCAAGAGCTAAATATCAAATGTGTCCGCAGATTACAAAAAAGAAAAATTTTCAAATTACGAATAATATCGAGGAATCTTGTCAAATTAATAGTATTTGTGCAGATATCTCAGTACGTGTTCGAAGAAACTTTCAACCTGCGGTTCGCGGTACCCTTCACGCAGCATAACGCGACAGTTTCGGGTGCGACCCTGGCCTCACTGTCGCCGGCGCAAGTCGCACACGTCAAGCGCCTCAACTTGCTCGATTTAGAGCTCTACGAGTTCGCTAAGAACCTTATGTTTAAAAGGTATTGTATCATTTTGTACTTATCTCGTATAGCTTCTTATCTTTGAAGAGTTATTTTCCTTTTTAATTGTTCTCTTGAGTTTATTGATCAATTTAGAAAATTAATTAATTCGTTCGTAAATAATTAATCCGTTATTTGATTGTTTAAAAAGTAATATAATGATTTAGCAAGGTTATTATAACTCATCAAAGGCTGACGCAAAAATACCTTTCGATATTTATGTCAAACCTTTGATGAGCAAAACTTTTTTAAGTCAAAAAGATTCGTAACTTTTTGAAAGCACATTTATTAGGGCGAAAGTCGTGCTCGATCACAGTTCGCTGAGAAAAGTTTGAAAATTCATTCAAAGTCGTTAATTTATACTTTTCTTTGTTAGATTCGAAGCGTTGAAGAAACGCGACAGCGATTTCGAATTCCGGTGGAAGCATCTCGGCGAGGTACCACGTAGTGGCGTCACAGAATTTGACTGGGACGGTAACCTCGAAGACGCTACTACAGAAAAATACAGAGGCAAGTAATCTGACCCAGTAACTTGAAGAAAAGCGGACAGCTAGTCATTCCTATACAGTACCATCAAATTCTACCTACTTGTATGTCAATGTCATAGCAACATCTAAGTACGAAACAAACTCCTTTATCCAAACTATAAAAAAATTTACTATGTATCCGAGTTATGTGTAAGGTTACGTCGGCTACAGCTATAAAAGCTGGCATGACATAAATGTTGACTTTAATTACCGTACAAATAACGTTTGTTTGCGGCAAGCGGCATTCTGTAACAAGCTATGATCTAGTTGATTAAGGACTGTCATTAAGTTGAATCAAAGTTTATTTGTGCGATCGGCAGCTGGTCTACAACATTGAGTGAACACTGTGGACGCTAGACTCCACTTATTGTGCTATAAATCCATCCCTTGTAATTATATCTCTATATTTATATTAGTACTTTAGTCTGTTGTTGAAAGAAATGAATGTTGATGTTTGATAGAAACAGGGTAGGTAATGCATCTAGGATGAACCTAACGAACAAAAGCCTTAGGGTATCTGTTTGGCCAATGAATCGCAACGTAGCAGTGGCGCAATAAACAACAAAATGTTGCTCAAAATTCGGAATAATTAGGTGGTGGTGGCTTTTAAATACTTATTTTTAAATAGCGCTAACAGTCGCGATTCGCTGGTGAAACAATAATTTATTCTTAAACACGCGTATCAAGCTATTGTACAGTGAATTATATTTAAGTAGTCACAAGTAGTTATTATAAGAATGTTTATCATTAATTCTAAAATAATCTGTTGAAAGCCGTTGCGCGTAGTCTAGCATAGAGAAACTATGATTTATTTTAGTAAACAACTTATGATATGAAATTACGAAACTATCATATTTAGTACAACAAATCGGTTTTCATAAAAATGCATTGTTCAGAGATTAATTGTTTGTACGTAGAAATGGATATGATGAAAATAATTCTCATTTTATTACCAAAGAACAAAATTAAGTGCTATAGAAAACTTATTTTATCATTCTGAACAATTTGTAAGTGCATAGGTAAGCTGTTGTTTTATTATTAGTTTATATTTATTTTAAGCAAAGCATTTTGTATTGTTCGTACTTGTAGGCACAGCTTTAAGGATCAGAGTGTTCTTTCTATGATGTTTAGTAATAGGTATATTGTACATCGGATTTTGAGCTTTTCGTGCAAGCATATTATGAACTATTGTTTTTTTTTTATACTGGTATACTTTTTCGATCTCTCGCTATGAATAAAATTAGCATCGGTGAGAGGAACCTTGGTAATGCTTTTATTTTTATCTATGTTTTAGTAGATTTAGACTAGTACTTATACATTGTTTGCGTTATAATGTTTACATTCTACTTTGCACAGAATTGGAGAGTGTTTCTAGTGAACTCTTTAGTTTATACAAAATGTTACGTGAGAAGTTGCATAGGAGACCTACTTAGCTACAATATTATTAATTTTAGTATTGCAAGTTACTATTAGACTTTACTGGGGTTGTGTCGACTATAGTAATATATATAAATTGACAGGCAATATACGAGCGGGGACGGGCTTAATATCACCGTGTATCACGTTTATCCGATGGGATAAGAATTTTATATCGAAATTTCAAATGTAGCGAAATATCAAATTATAATTTACGAAGGGAAACGTGAAGTGGTCGGACAGGAGTGGAATTTTACTCCATAATAACACCATTTTGCGCGGTATTATGGATGTGTTGCGTCGCTGAGGTAAAAGTATTTCAAAATCCACTGACAACTTTATCAATGATGGCGCTTTTATCTTTTGCGAAAAAATATGCGGAGCGGGCTCACGATCATTTAACTTTGTCCCTTTTGCCCTGAAATGAAATTACTGTACGTCGTAAGTTGTAGCTTGCAACGTATTGCAGGCAATACACGCGCGTAGGCACAGTGCAAGCGTGCCGTGTTTAATATTCCGTAAACTATGTTTGTAAACTCTTTCAACTCGGCTGGTTCCGGTAATTCCCTCCGCGCCGCATAACAAATTAAAACATTTTTCATTTAAATGCTCAGAATTGTTACATTTCTGAATAAAAACTATTTTGTGCGGTAGGCCTAGCGTGGAATGAGCGTGACATACTGAGCAAATTGTAATGTATTTTATTTGTTTAACTCTAGTTAATAATGTCTATGGTTGGTTAAAGCTGAATGGGGCTTACAGTTATGAAATCAGTATTTCCTAGGGCAATTAAAATTGCTATTATGTCGTAAGTACGCGGTTTTAATGAATCTGTCTTTGTGTAGCCTATGTTGGTAGTAAGAGGCAGTATGTTTTAAGTCCTGGAACTCCAGACCACAGAACAATAAATATAGTAGAAGTGGCTAGTTGGCGTCTGACGCGTGCCAATAGTAGGCCTCGTTAGACCTACTTGAGCTCAGTCCGCCATTTTCATTTTATACAGTATAGATGTGTCAATTCTTTCGCGCAAATTCTCTAAAATCGTAGAAAAATGCCTTGTTGTGCTGTTTTGGAGTGCAAAAGTGAGAGTCGCACTAAAAATATTACCCGTGTCATGGTGGTATTTCATAACATCGGTACGCCTTATTTAAAAAGCAAAAAGCAATTTTCTGTTTATCGAATATTTTTTGTTCTGTAACAAACGAAAGTAAACATTATCTCAGAGTAATATAGTCTTATCTCCAGTTTTATTTTTTGGAGAACTAAGTAATCATCTCTTGATTGAAATAAAGTACATTATGCAATGTGTGCGTTAAAGAAGTTGGCAGCACGTTGCATAAAATTTGATTATAAAATCAAAACATCGTAACTTGCAATAAAAGCATTGAACTTTCAATGATATAGCGACTGGGTAAAGTTTAAATTATAATAACATTTGTTACATCTTTTTAAATTAGAAACTACTACTACGTGTTTATCATTTTGTTTATGTGCGTTTTAGCGAATGCGGTTCTGATAATAATCGAGTCTTAAAGCCCTTCCAGTATTTTTTTTCTTCCGTGCTCCTATTCTTACGAGTGGCGACGCCCGGTGGCCTGGTCTACCGCTATGTCTTGACAATATAATCAATAGCGATTCTCGATTACTTTTCCTCAATTTTTCGCAGCCCACAGATATGACGAGATTAACTTTTCCTTCTTTCGCATTCCCTACTTTAGGGTTCCGTACCTAAACAGCAATAAAACCGATGTTTACGATGAAATTTCGATGTTGGTCTCGACAATATGTCACGCCTATTTCTTTGGCGAATATTAGTCATTTAATGAAAACATTTGAAAATGGTACCTATTCAAAATGGCGGGTCGCAATATAAAAATCGAGCTGCTAGGTAAAGTGCGGTATCATATTATGAAAAATCCTGCTATACATTCCAATCTTACTTTTTTAATTTTATTGTAACCGCAATTCACGTCACAAAAGAATATTTCATTAATTCACTCATATCATAGCTTTTTGTGTTTTCTTTTCTATCTACAAGAAACTGTTTTTTAATTCTGCCCTTAAATCTTGGAATTACTTTGTGTGATGAAAAGTATTAATTCGGTTTTATTTTTTGAGTAATCTTGTCGTAATCTGTGAATTACTAATAATTATAAAAGTTGTTATGTATAACACTATTCACAGTTTTATATTTACTTTAAGTATACATATAAAATTTTGTAATAAAGCTGCTTACTGTATTGATGCTGATTACGTGGAAAATTTAGAAATAAGCAACTATACGTTTAGGTTTGTGTATAAAATAACGCTAATAAGCCCTGTGATATACAATCAATTGCACCCAAGGTTTTGCAGAAATGTCTGAAACTTTGTGTTCTCAACAATCGCTTCTAGATATAGTTTATTTTAAATTGTAAATAGAAATTGATATAAAATGGATTATAATAAAGAAAATTATAATACAGTGGACACGGTACAAGTTGGTTTGAGCTGTTTTGCAGAACCGCAGCTCGAGGCTTGAGTCGCAAATGGAGTCGACGTGAAACTTATAACTTAAACTTGTTTGTACTGTTCACTTGGCTTAACAATAAACGATGGGTGCATAAGCCATACGACAAGTTAGCCATAGTGCACTACAACATAATAAACTAGTTAACTACAGGTATGTATGTGTTGTTGTATTTATAGCACCGGTGCATACGAGTTGTACCAAAATTTAGTGTTTAGTTTTTTAAGTTCCCGACTGAACCAAAACATAGGACGTTATGTTGTTTTAACGAACACCGAGTAATAAAATATACGAAACTATCCGTTCTTTTTATTTCTGCACTCGACATAAACACCTAGTTTTATTGCCTATAAAATGTGCCGCCCACTGAAATTACAATTACGTCAGCCATTCATACTAAGTACCTAATTAACTAAAGAATATCTTGGAAAAACTGCGACGGAAATGTTAAAGCCTAATTACAGACAAGTCTCACGCACGAGACTTATATTGTTAGTCTCTATCTTCTGAAACAATGTTTACAGTTGTAACCAGGACACTGGGAGATAAGTATAAAAAGACCTTCTAAAGGGCTTTCATGAACCTCGGTAAGTTTTCGTCGTACATTTTCTTTTATTTTCTTGGTGAACTACCTTGGGAGTGTGATTATGTCGGAGGTCGCGGTACAGTTGTTGCGCATGAGTGGCGGTGCGGCCGGCGGTCGAACGTCAGGCGTGCAGGAAGCTCAAATGGTCGAATTTGCATTTATGTCATTAGACCGGATCCGGCGGGCGAGGGGCCTCGGGAAATGGCCTGGCCTATAAACGTACGTTGCACCCTGATCTAATGTAACATTGTGCACGTTGTTACCGTTGTTACTGTTGATTACCGTGTACTCAGTGATAAATTTTTAAACGAAGAATATCATATTGTTGCCCATAGATACCAAATACCATAGATTTAGTATACTAAATATATATTTAGTACCGGGTACCTATCATAGGATAGGCGATAGATGCCATATATTCGGATAGATTCCATAGTTCCTCAAGGTTCCGTACTGTCTGTAACTCTCTTACTGATGCATATCAATGATATGTTAATTCCAAGTACCTTTGTGTATGCTGATGACAGCACAGTTGTAGATAGGTACTTGACCAATGCAAGGGTCAGTGGAGAGGAAATCCAGTCTTGTCGACAGTCCGTGGTTAGCCTTTAGATTTCACACTCCAGGCAGTCTCCGATTGGGGCAATGCCAATCTTGTCAAATTTAACGCTACCAAAACGCAGGAGTGTCTATTATCCACAAAGCGGAGTCCTTTGGAGCTGACTCCGACTTTTCGTGATATGTCCATACCGACAGCCGATTGTCTCCAGCTACTTGGAATGGACCTATCGTCCAATTTGAATTTCGGCAGATACATTGAATCCATGGCCAAAAATGCAGCAAGGAAGCTTGGAATCCTTTCCAAGGTGAGGCGTTACTTTACACCGGGACAGTTGCTTCAGCTGTACCACGCACAAGTTCGATCGTGCATGGAGTACTGCCACCACCTTTGGGATGGGTCTGCTACATATCAACTGGCCACTTTGGATTCAATTGACAACCGTGCCAAAAGGCTTATAGGTGACTTGGAATCAGTGGAGGCGAAGCTGCAGAGCCTTGAACACCGCCGTAAAGTTGTCTGCTTATCGGTATTTTACAGGATATGTCACGGAAAGTGTGCGATGGAATTACACGATTTAACTCCGCCTTCCCCTTTCCATCACCGGGGAACAAGGCGTAGGTTTGGGTTCCACCCCTATATTGTGGATATTCCAAAGATTCGCACACTCATAAATCCCGAGAAACTCAGAGGTGCGAGTCTGGATTCGAACCTACGGCCTTTGCTTCAGAGGAGGTAGAGTAAACCATTGGGTTACCACGGCTATACTTTTCTTTTAGAACCAGGCAATTGTAATGCTCTTGCTGAAGTAGGTGAGATCCAGTCTTTGACATTGAAAAAAATATGAAGACTCATTGCTCTTTAAACTCAAATAAATGCCTTTCAAGTAGAGTCACATCATAATTTTGTATGAAACCTAAATTGTATTTTAGTACGTAATTTACTTAACCCGTAATACTAAATACGAATTCATGAGACCTATGTCGTATATGAGAGACGGCTCTTGTTATTGACAAAATGTAGCACGTGACCCTTTGTACTGTTTGTTCAATCTAGAGGCAGCTACTTGCAGCGGATGCAACTGGATCACACGATTGAATTGATGAATGGGCACTCTCAACAATAATGTATTGGCCAGACGTACTGCACCGTGTGCCAAACTACACTCGACTCATCCGAGAATACAAGCACCAGTTTCTGTTTTATGAACAACTGCAACATCACTTTCCCGTAATCACGTTTCTGATTCATTTCATCTAGTTGCCAAGCTGTTGACATGACATTAGTTCCAATAGAACGTAAAAGTTTTGTTCTATGGCTTCTGTTTATTTTATTACAAATTCAATGTTTAAATTGTTTAAAGTGGGTTATTGGATCGGTTATATTTTTATCCGACTAAGAAGAAGTCGAAAGGTCAGTCATAATTTTGGCACATGTATGTAGGCATTGTTTGTTAATTTGTTCCTTAACAGAGTCTACACTAGGTACTGAATTGATTTGAACGTAGGAGGCGTTGTTCGATTGGTCTCGATTGTCCGCGTGTCGGTGGCTATATTATTAAGATAATTATGTAATATGTGGCAATAAAGGTGCCATACAAAAAAAATAATAATTTACTTCTTGTGTTAAAATATCTAACTAAGTCTCACATTTTAAGTAATTATTTACCTAACACACACACATATATATATATATATATATATATATTTATATATATATATATATTCTATAAGTGAGATATATATATATATATATATATATATATATATCTCTCACAAAAAAAACTTTTGTTTATCAACCCAACTACTACTACAATTATATACGGTATAGGTATACATCCTTTGTATTTAAGATCATTCGTATACATGTAAAAAGTAAGCCAATATTTTTATTAAATAAATTACAGGTTACAGTAACATAAATAAAAGAGTCTTCGAATCGATGTATTTAGTGTTGTGTAGCCGATATTTAAAAAGAAATATTGTTAAATCGAATCCCGTCTATTAATAAAACACCCAAAATAGAGAAGGATTTAATTTTGACTCACATGAGTTCATCTCTTTCAGGAATAATGAAGCGTTGGAGGTCGTTTTGTAAACATTATTATATTAGGTGTCTGCGACTCTCACTTATTACATCTCTGAAACTTATATGATTTAAAGTTGAATATGAGATTGCACTATATTTTAGCAGACTAATTTATTTAGTCGAAGAAATAAACCTAGTTGGCCGTTTTTAAATAAAAAATATAACGGATTTCAGATTGTATAAAAAAATCCGATTCTAGTGAAAAAAATCGATGTAACCTTAACTTCGTAGCTTTCTTTGCATCGTTGGATTACACCTCTTTGCACAATAAAA